AAGGAGAGACTGAGCATTCCAAGGGTCTGACCACTGGACTGGACTAATTTGTAGCCTAGGAAGGAAGTTTTCTGTAGGCTTGTGGAGGCATAGGTAGGGTCTGCTGCATTCTGAAAGCACAGTCCTTGCCCTTCTTCATGAGAAGGGAAGGGGAATTGCCAGGTCAGTCTCAGATTGTGACTTCTCACATTCTCTCAGGTCATTAGTGCCCACTGCTCAAATAGAAGGAATATTTAAAACTATAACAGCCCCCAAAGTGCTTATTGGCCTCAGTGTCAGAAATCACTGTTTCCACTGCACAGATCACCAGGTCTTTCCAGGCACTGACAGGGAGACTAAAAAGCTTAATGCAATGGCCTGCTTTGGCAGCTGGTAGTTAACCTGCTGGATCTCACACTTCTAAGGTATTTTTTTTAGTGTTTTCTGATACATTGAAGGAAAAGGCAAGAAAAACAAAACAAATCCAACATTTTACATTTCGAGTATTCTCCCCACTAAAGATTCCAGTGTGTTACAAACTGCTAGAGTTTTAAATTTTGCTGAGTTTTATAAATAGAGAAAGTGAGTGCTCGTGTTCACACCATGATTCTGTAAATCCTGTAGCTGATATTGCTAATATCTGATGACTGTTAATTCAATACTGTACTGGGTACAGTGACCCAGGTTCCTTGCAGGTCTGAGTGAGTGAGTAGTGTTAATGTCAGCCAGTTGACTTGGCCAAAGCTTGAATGCATTGTCATTCTTGAACTGTTATTTTTCAGCAGATTGCTAAAATAAAAGCTGGTTTACTACTGAAGTGTCATCCAGATTTCAGAGCTTGTGCCAAATAAAATACCAGTTCTGGTGTCTCAAGTAGCAGGGAAGTATAAGATGATAAGATTTTTCCAAGGAAATACATTTTGTCTTTTGAAGATAAAATGTTTAAAAATAAAAGGAGCGTTTGTCTTCAGCAGTTAAGAAGATAGCAACCACCTACAATCTGTGAGAACACTTACATAAGGCTCATACATTGTACAGGAGTTCTGGTTTGGCAGTGCTGGAACACTGTTCCTATGTACTTGTCAGGGAAATGTGAACCGAAGCCTCCTAGCAGTACTGCTGCAGATTCTATTTTGATAATGTATTATGAAGGCTAAGTAGGAAAATAATTTTTTTCTAGTTTTCACTTTACTACTCTTAAACATTTTGCTGAATTCTGTGTTAAAAAAAAAAACCAAACCAGCTACCTGTAATCATTTAGGACTATTGGAACAATTGAGTAATGTGATTTTTAGTTTCTGGAAATAAGTTGGTATTATGCTTTCCAACAGTTCATAAGCAGAAATGGTTTTCATACCTAGCAGAGTGATGGCTCACACAACTTTAACTTCAGGTGTCTTAGTTGCAAGGAAGGAAGCGGAAACCCCTTGAGTGACAACTGATTTTTGTCAGATCAGCCTGCTATAAAAGGTGCTTTCTTGGATTATGTTAAGTAGAATATTGAAACTTTAGTAGAATGGATTTTTTTTAATTGTGTTTTGCTGTACACGTTTTAACTGTTGAGTTTCAGTTTTGTTATTAACATACTTTGTGTATAGGTCTGCTTCAATTCAGGGGTTACACAGATAATGGTTACCCTCTGTAAATGCAGATGGCAAATCTGGAATAATTCTTTGGGATTGAGGAGGTTTCAAACAAATGAGAAGGGGAGGCAAATTGTTTTCTTTAATATAAAATGTGAGAGTATCATGGGCTTTACATTCTAGATCAGAGGTTTCTCAGTTTTGCACATGGTTGCTGGATAAAGTGTTTATTGTACAGGGTTTGATTTTAAACAAGGTGAAGAAATGTTTTCTGCTACTCATTTTTGTGTTTGCATTGTTGATGTACAAACAGTTGGTTATATTAGAAACATCAGAATGAAAATGCTTTGAGGACTGAAAATAGATGGGAGACATTCTGCATATCTTTAGTTGAGTTTTATGTGAAGTAAAACACTCCTGGTTGTAGCCTGCACCTGATGCTAAAGCAGTTGTATTCATCTGGAGCAGTTAAAATGAATGTGCTAGAAAATGGTAATGGTTTATTATCATACATGCAGCAGTGTAAAAATATGTTTACAGAGATGTTTACAGATGTTTTTGTCCTCATTTATTTCTTGTTTGTTTGTTTGTCAATATATTTATACAAGTTATTTTTAAGTTCCTACATTAGTTTTTTCAAGCTATAAGGAAAGCCTTATGGCAAAGGCAAATTATTAATGTCATGGATGCCAAGTTCAGGAGTTGTCTTCAGAAAGTTGAACAGCTGAATCAATTCTTTATTAGATTCTAATAAAATGAGATAAAATAATCAAATTAATTGTTTATATTTTATTATTGCAAGTCTTGAATTTGTCATCTTTGTAATATTTTTTAGAAGTTCTGTTAGTTGATTCATTAAGGAGCTGTAAGAATCCTAGTGTATCTATGCCAGATGTTCATGATGTAGGTCATTGATTTTTTTTTTTCCCCCACTACAAAAAAAAACCTTGAAATGTTGAGTGGGGATGTGTGTTTTCCTTTTTGGGGAAGGTTAAGAGAATTTATTGTTCTTAGCTCAGAAATATTTCTGTAGTCTGATACAGCAGCAGTTCATAAGTAATAACAAAAAAGAAATGAGAGCAAAATGTGATTTGAGATACGGGTAAAGAATTCGAGGAATTTAGACTTTCTGGGAATTCTAGAGTGTCTTTTGTTCAAAGATTATGTAGCAACGTAGCAATAGGGTTGTTCTAGAGTTAAAGGATCACTTGAGACCATACCTGGGTTTTTAGCAGCCTAGCTAAAAGATTTAGGAAAAGGGAAGTGCAGTATCTGGGACTTTACTGTGAACTGGAAAGTTTAAAACTAGGATTAGAGTTCTGCATTGGAGAACTTTGGATTTAGAGGTTTCCTAATGATGACATTCATGTACTGTATGAAATCACAATGAAAATAGGGTCCTGAGAGTCATGATCATCAGGAGAAGAAATTCTGTCTGAACCAGGTAGGCAGAGCATTCATACTGAGGTTACCCAGAGGTGGTGAAATCACCTGCTTTGGAGATTTTTCAGAAGCTGACAAGGCAAGTTCCTGAGAGCTGGTAATCCCATGAGATGGGGGGATGGACTAGATGACCTCCAGAAGGTCCCTTCCAACCTGATCTATTAATGCTCAAACCACAGGTCAAGCACATTTTGTGTGGGAAGTCAAACTTGTTTTGAATTGTGCTGCTGTGCTGCCATCAACATCATTTAATTGCATGCTGTGTTCCCAGTTGGATCTGGACAATAAACCCACATTTCTGTACGTGCCTGAAACAAAAATTAAGAGACGGACATGTTACCAATTCCACAGTGCATTGTAGATGTGGTGAAAGATGTGGTTCCATTCAAAGCATGTTCACTTATCTGTCACGGGGAAAAAAATTTGTCAAGTTAACCTGCTGCATAACAAATGCTAAGCCTTAGAAAAAGTAGGTGTTTCTTTTAATTTCATCTGGTTTGAAAGCATGAATACAGCTCACGTGGCTTAATCTCTTTGAAAAGTGACTCCAAGGCAACTCATAACTAGTAAATTGTGGATAAAATGCTGTGAATATGAACAGAAAAGCAGCTAAATTTTCAGTTAAATTCTGCTCTGAAGAGACCTGCTTGGTTAATAAATGTACTTAATTTGTATGAGTGAGTGGGAGTTTGAGGAGAGTGTAATGTCAGGAAATCGAGTGAGAGCTGAGTAAATTATGCTTCTAGAAGCTAAGAACAAAGAAGAAAAATCTTGCATAACAGTAAGTTAATGTGTCTTCATTTAATTTGAAAGCTCCAGTTGGTAACTAGGGAAAATAATGAAAAATATGCACTTAACAATGATAATTGTTCTATTTAGGTGTATATCAAGCAGTACTTGCTTATATTTCTTATTTTTCAATTCACACTTTCTGAACATCATTCTCTGCCCTTGTGTAGGCCATTCTTCAATGGTCATGATAATTTTTTGTCATCTTGGTTTTTTAAATGTCATGTTAACACTTGAAATATTTGGTACTGATCATTGAAACATATATTGCACTTTCAAAATTCTGAATACACACCCCAACATGTGGTGTTTATATTCAGAATATTTGAAGTTTAAGGCAAGCAGTTGTGTTTCTTAAGAAAAATAATTTAAAATTAACAATTTCCTCATTTTTGTGGATCTTTCTGAGTTGTTAATATTTAATATCATTCAAATTTCCAAGAATCCAGGGATAGGATATAATTGACATCCATATTGATTTATTGACATTTTAAAGACTTGATAGTTCTGTGAGGTATAAAAAGCCTGTACCCATAATTCATACTTCTGTCTCTCCTTACTGTAGATTAAGTACTACAGTAATGATAGAAAGGAAGGATATAGTAAACTGGGACTTTTTTCAACTATTCGATAAGTAGCTAGTGTGCGATAAAATTAATTTAAAAATATTCATGGCCAAAAGTCTTCCTTGCTGGAGAGACTGAGGATTAACTACTTCTGATATAGTCCTTTGGTGGTGTGAAGTCCTGTATAAATACTGACGTTGATTTGGGATCTGAAGGAGCATTGTGCAGGGCTTCGGAATATTAAAAGCCATTTGTATGTTAGCACAATATAATAATTCAGCATTCTCTGATAGAAGCCATTGTAAAAAGGGATGTTGTGCTGATATGCGGGTGGGAACACAGGCTGGGGCACAGGAGCTTCTGGACATCCATCGTGAGGGCTAACACCGGGTGATGTTTGTCAGTGTGAGCGGAGAAACTCTCCTGCTTTCCGTTAAATTGCCTCTGAATCCATTCCCTGACTATATTTTTGCCAACCCCGTAATATTTGTGGGAAATCAGTAGGCAGTGTCCATAGCTCTAAAGCTGAATTGTGCGTGCGAAGGAACTGCCCAAAGCCCAGCTGCGAAGGCAGAGCAGTGTCTGATGTTTGCCGGTGTTGCCGGAGCAGAGAGTGACCAGAGCCGCGTTGTTTCCGCAGAGCGCCGAGGCGTGCCCAGGATGGAGCCCGCGGGGCCGGCGGACGGCGAGGACGAGCCCGGGGCCCCGGCGCGGCTGGCGCCCAGCCCGCACAGCGAGGCCGTGGCGCACGAGCTGCGGGGGCTGTCGCTGCAGCCCAGCCCCTGCCTGCCGCCCCTCACCGAGCGCAAGAATGGTGAGTGACCGAGTGACGGAGTGCCCGGGGGCGCGAGGGGCCGGGCCGTGCCCGCCGGGGACTCGCCACGTCCAGGTGCTGCGGGATGTTGGGAAGTCGGTCCCGGGAGCTTCACCCGCCAGGGCAGCTCTTGGAGCAGCAGAAGGCACTCTGGAACCTAGAGTGGAGTTGAGGAGATTTTTAAGTTTTAGTTTAAAAACTAGGTTTTAGTTTTAAAACTACTGCTGGTGTATACTACAAGTATTGATGAAATATTTTTGAGAGCTGTATTATTATCAGACAAAAAGGGATAATTTTCAAGAATGGGGGTTTTTTTCTGTATAAATAATACATAATTAATGTTTTGCATTCTATCCTACAAATTTTAATTCAATATTGGAATACTTCTGGAAAATATGTTTTTTCTTAGTTTCCTGTAAAACTAAAATGGATGAGGTAGGTATCTGTGTTCTGTCAAACCTCCAGGAGCCAAACTATTGCTCATCTATAAGTTCAGGTTTAGTAATTTTGGTTAATTTTGTTAGAAACAGATTTTTTTTAGAAATTACAAAAGTCAGAAGCAAATTTGTAAAAGTGAACTTTGAACTTGATGGATTTGCGTTTCAAGTAGTTGTAGTAATTTAATATTTTTACTTTTTACCAAAAATTGGATATTTGCAAGAGTATTTTAGCATGTCACTACTTTATAAAATCTATAACAATAAGAGATTGCAGTTCACAGAAATACAGTGGCACTTAAAAAATTCTGAAATGTTTAAGGGTATTTTTTGGTAGGATATTTTTATGCAGGAAGCATTATGCTTACTGTGAGCTCTGGTAGTGATCCTTTAAACCTTTTGTTTACTTGAATGAGTCTTTTGGCAGTAGTCCAGTAGGAGGCTGAACTGTTCTAGTGTTGTTCTGCAGTGTTGTTAAGCTGACTTGCACAAGTTAGTACAGAAACTGTGTTTCCAACTTTTCCAATGTCACTGCAAGGGTAGGAGGCTTCTGCTCTGGTTTGGTTTTGTTTACCATGGAGGTAATCACAGCATGCCTGGGAGCCAGCAGCCACTGGAGCTGTTACTACCTTCTGCTTTTTCACATTTTCCTCCTCTCCCCTGCCCTCTGCCCCAGAGATCCCAGTCACAGAGCAAAGCAGGAGTAAGAGTTTGGGTGGGCAGAGCTCGGTGGGTTTGCTGCAAATTCTCATGGTTAGCTTAAGCTCCAGTGGAATTATTGTCCCTTGAGTTTACAAAGGAACATTTATATGCTGTGCCAACTCTGTCAAAGTGGTTTTAACTTCCAGCAGAGGATCAATAACAAAACAATTGGAGTGCATTAGGAGCTTAAGATTTTCTAGTCACTTATTACTTGCAGGTATTTACTCCCTGAACAAAGACAAATGGATAATTTTGGGAGGTGGATGTTGTATGTCAGTCTCCTGGACTGTCATAATTTCAGGGCTCTCCTATTTCATTTGAGCTGTTTTCAGGTTCATGGCTGTGGGCAATACTGTATTGCTAATGAAACTAATTTCAGGTTCTCATTAGTCTGCATATTTCTGGATAATTAGGCAGTACATACAGTGCATTGATCATGTAAGCATGTGCCCTGTGTATTGCAGTGGTTTTCCATGCCTGTTCTCTGGAGGCCAACTCTTGCTCCGCTTGCTAAAAAGCAGCAAAAGTTCTTATTTCACTGGTTCTGCTCTTCACACTTGTCACCTCCTGAGTGATGACAGAGATGTGTCTGTGATTCTGGCAGTCTCATGTCAGCCATGGGTGTACAGTCCCTCTCATGAGCAGTGGGCCTGCTCACATACATGGAGTTTGGGAAACAGGCTCTGCGTTGCATCCCTGCCTGAAGGATGCCGGGTTGGGTCCAGTATGTGCTTTTTAGGCAAGATGCTGTGTCCTTAGGAAGGACAGCTTGGAGGAAAAGTGACATGGATGAGGCTCTTGGGAAGCAGGAGGGAGGCGACTGATGCCTGGGTGTTGAGTTGGGCTGTGGTGGAGGAAGGCTGACAAGAGTAGCAGCAGCGTGGCACGGCCCAAGTACCAGTCAGAACAATGTGCTGCCCACACACTGTACCACAGTTTCATGAGCTTCTGTCTGAGAGCCAGGAGGTGGCAAGGGAGGGAAGGATAGGCTGTCTGCTGCTGACAGCAGGAGGGTGGATGGGAATGATGCTGCCTGCAGCTTTCCAGCCTGCTGTTTCAGAGCCAAGTGATGGGAAGGGATTGCACATGTAGATACCATCAATAAAAGGAAGGAGTGCATGACCAAAGCTTTTTGCATGCTGAGTTAATACTTTTCCAGAACTGGTGAGCATGCCACTTTGGCTGGAAGAGGAAGCTGTGAAGGGCTGGGTGTGAGGAGCCATGCAATCATTATTTCCAGGTACATGTAAAACAGAAAGCTCCTAGCTTGTGTATTACAGCAGCCTCTCTTGGCTCTGCAGTGGCTTCCTTGACTATCTCATTGTGCCAAACTCTTCTCGTGACAGTGGCTACTACTTTCTGAAAAAGAGACATATAAGTTGCTCTTGTGGAGTTGTCATCCACAGGTGGGAGCCTGGTTATATTCTTGTAAAATGAGTGGATGAGTGGCTGGCACCTGTCTGGGCCATTGACCGCCCTTCAGCTCTGCATTTTGGCCATAAATCCCGTCAGAAGGGGAGTGTGCCCATTCCCTGCCCTTTGGTGTGGGGAAGCAGTTCTGTTCCAGGCAGTGGGGGCTGTGAGGTGTCTGCTCCTCCAGACTCACAGCCAGCACAGGAACAGGATTGCCTCTGCTTCTCTTTAGGGCTGTGCATCCTGAACTGCAGGAGGACAGAGAAGGTGGTGCTGTGCTTCCCATGGCTGGCAGCAACTGTTCTCCACCAGAATTGGGCTAATTCTCGGAGAACAACCAAGAGTCTTGGATATTTTGTAGGAAAAAAGCCTTGGGACAGTGAACATCTTAAAGCAAGACTGGTAAAATCTCAATTAGGAGAAAGCAGTGCCCCTGGCTGTGTAAGAACAGGGACACTCAGGAGCAGGGACCCTGAGGCACCGAAGGTCAGGTGAGAATTGCAGCTTCCTGTGGAGTTGGAGAGCTTGTGGGATACTGTGGAGAATTCAGGGCAAGATGGAGCACACACACATGCACACACACACACAAAACCCAACACAAACCCAAACAAAAACAAATACTCCAAATGGTGTATATTGAGTCCTCCTAAGGGACCAGTCGAGTCAGCTGGGAGACACAGTTCTTAAAATAACTGAATGAAATCCACATCCTACTTAACCTAATGATATTATTTAAATAAATTTGATGATCCAAGGGATTTTTTCTGGCATCTAAGAGTTGTGGTATATTAGTTTGCCTGTTATCTCTTATCTTCCACTCCCTCAGTATGTAGCACTGGTAATGTGCATTCTTGGCATAGTTTTATAGCCTCTGAACAAATTCTCAATCCTCTGTGCAATTAATAGATTTGAACTGCAAATTTGATATTAGAGAATCAGGTGAGATTTGGGACATTGTTCTTGCATCTGTGTATGACAGGTTTTTCTCCACTGCTCTGAGATCGGTGATTAGGTGTGTTTTTTCCTCTTGTAATGATATATAGGTAGATCACTGTGCTTAGGATTTATTTTCTTGAGAGAACTGGGAGGGACACAGAGTGTAGGAGAGATGGCTAGTGGAAAGACTAGAAAACAACAAATGGAAAACTTAGTTCTGATTAAAGTAATAGCTTGGCATGGAATATAATTGAAAAATCATCTTAAATTCAGCAGTTTCATAATCACTGAAAGCAATGAGATCTGGAAAACAGCATGCAGATACTCTGATTAACAGCACCACCACCACCAATAACATCAACAAGCCAAACATAAAAATTCCCCACAAACCAGAACTCAAAGGAAGTGTATCATGAAAGGTGTATCTGGATAAAGAAGTGCACAATTTCTGTAAGCTTACAGTAGAAATGTGTGTGTGCATTTATAGTGTAGTCATAAATAATGTGTGTGTGTACAGTGGTGGTCCAGAGAGGCTGTGCAATCTCCACCCATGGAAATACTAAAAATCAGCCTGGGCACTGTCCTGGGCAAGCCTGTTCCAGCTGACCCTGCTCCAGCAGGACTTGGGCCAGGGGATCTCAAGAGGCTGCTGCCAGCCTCAGTGATTCTGGGGTTTGTCTTTCCCTTAAGGTTTTAATAGCCCATGGAACATCCAATGCAAATATTCTGTTAAATAATCTTTTCTAAGAACATGCAGCATATTGTAATGAATATATATTTGTCTTTATGCTTTGGTTTTTTTGGTGGTGCTCTGTTTTTTGGAGGGAGTTTGTTTTTGGGGTTTTGTTTGGTTTTTTACCGTGTTAGTAGAAAAACCAGAAGTCCCTCGGTCTTCCTGTAAATATTTGAATGTCATCCTATCTGTTCCGAGAGGAGAGCGCAAACTGAGTAGGTACTGATTTCCCACTAAGTCTGTCTTTGTCATTGGTACTGCCAGTTCCCACAATCCTAGCATTCCCAGGCCATCAGTCAGTGTCTACAAGGAACAATTTTCAAATATTAAAGCATGTGAAAAGACATACAAGCCAAAACTCAGAGATCTCTAGGGACTGTGACCTCTTAAATGGAATATATTCTGACATTTTCACAGGCTACATGAAAGAATTCCAGCAGGGTCATTCCATTTGGTAAACTTCTAAACAAACATTCCATCATTTTAGTTTGATTTATAGATATTATTTTTTTTAATTATCTGCTTATTGTGAAGAGATTAACACAGGAGACATGACCTGTGACTGACTCAATTGAAGGCATCTGGTATATGTGAAATCCTGTTTGAGGGCCTGGCATTTGAGTGATTACAGGAGATACAGAAAGCATGTTTTCCTTTAAAGAGATCACTTGATCAAACTGTCTTATTCTGACCTTTTCTCTTGAAATTCCTTGTGCACAACTAAATGCATAGCTAGAAAAGAATGTTGAGTTAATTTTAAATTCCACTGTATAATTGTT